TTCTGGGAGTTGAAGTCCACTCATCTTAAAGTGGCCAAGTTTGGACAACACTGCGCTGCCTCTGGAATGATCTCCCCCCACGTCCCCTGAGATACGGTTGGCCCTGACTCTGCTGGCCTTTGGGAAGGGTTAAAAATATGGTTCTTTCCCAGGCATGGGGGAAGTTCATTGGGGTTCCCACCTGGAGGGGTGTAACAGAAATTTGGCTTCTGGTTGCTTATTAATTTTTTTTTGTTTTGTTTTCTTGCCCAGAGTCACCATCTTTTGGGTTGGGCAGCCATATAAATTAAACAAACAAACAAACAAACATTGGGAGACAAATGTAAAATTTTGAATGATTAATCATGTAGTTTCATTGATGTTTACACTTCTGCTTAAAATATATTATTTTCTCATTTAGATTTAATACTCTTTCTTTCCCTCTCCTATTTTATTTCCTTGAGCTAAATATAGATACATTCTTTGGGGAAAGGTTTGGTGGGCTAATACTGATGTAAAACCCTTTGCACATTGCTGATGCCGTAGAAACAAACAAGCAAATAAATAATGTTTATGAATAAAATCTGTTGTTGATAAGACTTGTTCTGGTGATTGTAGAAACTCCAAGCTCTTGTGTGATCAGAAATACAGTTTAAATATCACTACACTCTTCTTCCACATTCCTTTTTCTTTTGTATAATGCCATACTTTCACTACTTAAAGCTGTTTAGATGCTTTTTAAGTTTCAAATAATCATAAAAACACTGTGCATTTTTGATTAATTAACCATCAAATATAGATAATATTAACCATCATGTGTAGATAATATTAAAACATAGCTGGCTTGGACGGAACGTGATTTATGAACCAGTTAATGAAACTGAGTTCAGTCTTGCGCTCATGTGGTCATCGCTTGGTGTTATGTTGATAAGTCAACCCTGACTCCTGGTGATTACAGAGACAAGTCCATGCAATTTTTTTGACATTTTCAGAAGTTATTCTTGCACTTTCTTCCTAGGGCTGAGAAAGAGTGGCTGGCCCAAAAGACAGGATTAGAACTCGCAGTCTTCCAGCTTCTAATACAGCAGTTTGACATTTGACCAAACTGGCTTTTGGGGTTCTCTCTCATCCCTCTCCTTTTCTCTTTAGAGCAGTGTTGCTTAAACCTTTTGCTCTCAGGACCCCTTCCCTCTTTTAAAAACTGTGGAGGATCCCAAAAAAGCTTTTGTTTTTAAGGTTTATATTTATCGATATTTCCTGTATTAAAAATTAAAATTGATGCATTCATACAATATTTATTGAATCATGTAAAATTACAATATTAAACCCATTAGATATTAACATAAAATATTTTTCATGAAAAAAACCTATATATTTTTAATAAATAAAAATAATAATAATGAGAAGAGTGACATTGTTTTAAATTTTTGCCAATATCTTCAATATCTGGCAAATAATTTTGATTTCGCGGACCCTTGAGAAGGTCTTGGGGGACCGCCAGGGGTCCTCAGACCACACTTTAAGAAACACTGCTTTAGAGTAACATCCTTGCTTGTTTAGGAAATGTACGCCTATTAAACTTTTAAGCCAGGTCTGACCTTGAGTTCATC